TAATCAATTAATTATCCATTTAAAGTTTAAATTTAATACAATTCCATATTTTGAATTGATAAAAATTCAAATAAAAGATTAATATTCAAATAAAAAAGATTACGAGTTAGATAATTTTTTAAATAAAAAGATAACTATTTATATAAGAATAACAAAAAAATAGAGATGAAAAAATATGCAAAAATAAAAATATAACTATTTAGATTTGAACTACAAAATGAAAATTTAAATAAAAGATAACAAAATACTTAAAATAAAAAGATTAAGATTGGGAGATAAATATCCCAAAAAGATGATAATTTTTTTTAACGATCTATATTTATCTTTTGTTAGTTTGTTATAGAATTCTCATATATTTCAGTTTAATTTTTTTAAAGTTTATCTTCAAGGTGAACTTAATATTTTATCTTTTAAAATCTTCAACTAATTATTCATATAAATTTTAAATATGATAGAAGACTCAAATAGCCTAACACAGCAGTAGGCCAAAAGGTTCAAAAGGTTCAAGTGGAAGATATTTAAATTAGTAATGATGGAAGTATAACGGCTATAAAGGTTCAATAGGACAAAAGGTTCAAGTGGCACTACAAGAAAATCAAGTTTTAGCAGCGTTTTTTATCGCTGTAGCCTGGAAAATGCTGCTATAAATAGGCTATTGTAACTGTTATTGACCGCAACTAAAAATAAAATTTTTAGTAGCATTTTTTTTCTAAAACGCTGCCATATATATATTTTTAGCAAAGGTTAGACCTCAACCGTTACAAAAACCAAGCAAAATAATGGCCGCCAAATAAAACAAAAAATTCGCTCCAAATTAGATTTTTTTTCAAGTTCGAATTTTTATTTTTATTTTTATTTTTTTTTAACATAAGAGATCAATTTCAGTCCCAAAAAATAAAAATAAAAACCGTTCAACTATCCTGGATTACAATTTGTGCCCTAGTCTATCAACACTTCTCTCCTGCAAGTATCAGAGCCTTCGTTCATCCTCCACCGCGACGTACGATGACGACGTCAAGCTACAGCACCGCTGTGATTTCAAGGTCAGCCTACTCTCTCTGTTTTTCTTTCTCTATCCCCCTCTCGCTCTCTACCCCTCTCTCTTTCTTCTATTGTCTTCGGACAAGTTTGAGTCCATGGAATCCATTGTTAAGATGAGATACTTGCCATTCCATGCATTGCTTCTAATATCTCCAAAACTTCTCTACTTTGAAGGATTTCATGAACATCTTGAATGATTTTGATTTGGGAAAATAATTTGGAAAATTGATTGATTAACATGATATGTGTTTTGATTATTATATTCACACACACACATATATATATTTGATCATCTAAGATATTCATATTTTAACCAATATAATTAGTGAAGTGAATGGATTGTTGTTGATGATACACAGTAAAGTCTCATGCTTGAGGAATCATTATGTATGCTAGATATTTGATGAAATGTCACAATGGAGTAATAGTGCCTACCTTTTTGTTTATTGGTTTGTTCTGTTTTTTTTTTTTTCCTGGGAATCATTCCAATTTCAAAATTTATCTCTTCTGTAAATTTACTTCACATTGAGCCTTTTATGGATTGCATCACTTAACAAGATAGTAACTACTACATCTCATTTCCAAATCGTGGCCAAATGCCTCCATGAGGACATACACCTACTAACATTGCATTGTAAGTGGCCATTTTATTGTTGCTATAATAATATAGGACATGGTTTGAAAAATCTTTTGCTAACTTCTCATAGATTATACTGTACGTGCTTCATCCATCTAGGAGAACATTTTGCCAATAATAAATACTAGTTAATCACATTTGTAAAAAATGTGACTTTTTTAATATGGAGTAAAGTATACCATATGGAGTAAGTTCAAAGATCAAATCCATATCTATACTAGCATTTTTTTACAAGACATAATAAGCCAAATCAAGATGAAATATACTAGAGACCCCAAAACTTTTATCAAATTTTCTGCTTTATCAGCACATGGATCAAGCCTGCTAAACATACTCGTATATGACACCACCAAAAATGATGCAGAAAAGATGCATCCAGGAAAACAAAAAAAAGAAACCTCGCATAAACCATGAATCCTTCGAGGATGAGGGATGGACAACGCAAAGAGGAAGGCACTAAAACTCACACTGAATCCCATGTGTAATTTATTATAGTGAACAAATCAACAATCACCATAGAGCTACTGTCTGGGATTAGGATTAGCAACACAAGAATGTTTTTGACAATCTCTCCAATCTAGGCTGATCATCATGCATTTTCTCTCAGCATTGATTCATGACCATTGTGGCCCATCTTTCTTCTTTCTCGTGCATTCAACCTGTACTGAATCATCCACCTTACAACTGTAATCACTGCCCTTCCTGGACATGACCCCAACTTTCTTGGGTAACTTTTCTAAACTTACATCCATGAATACTACCCCCGCTTCCATTGAATGTGTTTCTCTAGCATTCACTTGAGTATAATTATTTCACATTTTTCTATCCCAATGGTAGGTGTTTATGATTTATGCAGCATTCTAAAAGAATTTCCAGCTTCATAGGTCTCACCTCTAATAAAAATCATTCTCTCCAGTCTCATATTTTGCATGAAATTACAGTCCATAATTGCGTTAATTCCAACTATTTTTTTCATCTTGAAGCATTTCTCCATGAAACTCAGTTATACCCCACTTATAGCAGAGTTTAACCAGAACTCTACCATCAACAAAGAACATACTCCTAGATAATGCCTGAATGACAATACCCACTATAGAGAAAAAACTACGATATTTGGAAATTCAATTTCATTCATGCTAGTCATTTCCCACTGTAGATGTCCTCAACAAAATGCTTGCCCAGTTCTTAGTCATCTACAAAGCCACTCTCTGGTGACCACACAATGCAATTCCTTCATTTCAATGCGTACATCATGCAGCTCCTTCTTCCTTTCAACCAAATCTATCAACTGTTCTTAAAATCGCTTCCATGGTCAATATTATGGCATGAAGCAAAATTAATTCCTAGACACCAGTATTCATATTGTAGTCACAGCTCAGCCCCGCTCTTCTAAAGTTAGACAATACCAGGTGTTAAAATTTATCACCTACTTCACCCACTTAAACCTACTCCACTAAACCTAACCCACTAAATCCACATACTCTCCACCTACTTCACCCACTTAAACCTACTCCACTAAACCTAACCCACTAAATCCACATACTCTCCACCTACTTCACCCACTTAAACCTACTCCACTAAACCTAACCCACTACACCCACTTAAACCTACTCCACTAAACCTAACCCACTACACCACTACCACATCACCTACTCCACTAAACCTAACCCACTAAATCCACATACTCTCCACCTACTTCACCCACTTAAACCTACTCCACTAAACCTAACCCACTAAATCCACATACTCTCCACCTACTTCACCCACTTAAACCAACTCCACTAAACCTAACCCACTACAACACTACCACCTCACCTACTCCACTAAACCTTATCTAATTAGCTTGTTTCAATGGTTTTGAATCAGCCAATCATAGATAACTTTATCTTGTGTACCTAAACTAAATTGTGTAGTGATTTTTTATGTTAGTATAGATAACTCTTTATATAATACATTTAACTTTTTATTTTGTTTCATGGTACTTTAATTTAGTTAATTATCAATGGATAAAAGTCGGATGAAGAAGAGTAGATTGTCACGAGATTATGTGCAAACGATTAAAGAACATACAATTTTTTTTTACCCTTCCACAAATACAGCAGTGTAGCAAAAGGCAACGCATCCCATATTTTCCTTTTCAAGATTCTAAATTTATACCCAATCCACCATTGTAACAGACCTCTTCCTCTTTCCATGCATTTTGTATAGAAATCTCCTTAGAAGTAGACAAAGAAAATAATATTGTGAGGTGTATATGAGCTTTTCCTATGAAAATAACAGTCATATTTTGGGAAATGATCACTATATTGGATAAATTTCATAATCTTAGCCGTAACCAGAAGTTCTTCATGATTACCCCTACCCCTCTATCCTTTTTTTTTTCTTTTTAATTTGAAGCCAACAAATCACAGAAGATAAGAAGACAAACTTGCCTGCCCACTTTTTACGAGATACCAAGTTTTATTTATTTCTTGTGTCGTGGAAGGAAAATTATTAGGTTGTCCAGACTACCATGTGCCATTAGCCTATGTGGTGTGCTGTCAACAAATTAAGAACCACAAAACATATTAGGTGGGTCATCATTTGTCTTTCAACTACCCAACAAACATGGGTAAGCATTATACCATCCATAAAATTTTCTGTTGCTTCATTGGCTGGAGTGCCACGTGGACAATACCACATGATTCTCTGAGACGAAATAATTGGCCGGCTGTAATTAGGCAGCCTAATGGAGCATCAGCATTTTTCCTTGTAGGAATATATAGGTCATTCCACAATGTATGTTCGTAATTCATTAGTGTTGGAGTTCATTCCAAAATGTTTGTTCATAATTCATTAGTGTAGGCCTTGTTTAAATTCCATTTTGATTTTCATTCCTTATATTTGGTTTCTAGTATTTTTTTTTTATGGTGTCTATTAACCCTTTAATTATTCTAGATTCATGTATACTTATTTCATTTTTGCATGAGCTAAATTATTGTTTTTGAGAACTGATATATGTGACCCATTTTTTTGCACCTTTGATATCTCCAGGAACATGGCAAGATAGTATTTGTTTTCATTATTTTCTTAATGACCAATCATGATTATTCACGTAGGCGGTGATACAAAACAGTAACAAAAAATTTGTGACACATAACATTTCTCATTATTTTGTAAGCAATTTGGATAACTTTTGTAGTAATTTTATTTTTATTTAATTTTTTTTAACTGCCCTTTAGTTTAGTCTTTATCCCAATTCGTCTTTTTTAATGGATTACAAATATGCATTACCCTTTAGTTTAGTCTTCAATACATATAACATTCATCTTTGAAAAACAACCATCACGCGAGAGTTCTCAATGCAACAGTTGCTCGATAACATCGGAACAGCAGCTATATAAACGCAAGGAAGTCAACCAATGCAGTGAAGCAACTTCACACCCAACCTCTCAATCCATAGCGCCTGGTTCTTCAAGCTGAACAAAAGGAGCAGTAGTAGTAGAAAAGCCAAGAACATGAACAACAATCCCATTTACAAAAACCCTAACTCCCCAATCGAATCCAGAATCAAAGACTTACTCTCTCGAATGACCTTGTCCGAGAAGATCGGCCAGATCACTCAAATCGATCGACGAGTCGCCACTCGTTCCGCCATTCGAGACCTCTCCGTCGGTCTCTCTCTCTCTCTCTCCCCCTCTCTCTCTGTTTTTATGCATTTTCTTCGTTTGATCTTCGATTCATTGATGTCTCAGGGAGTATTCTCAGCGCCGGCGGTGGTGGACCGTACGAGAAAGCAACGTCGTCCGATTGGATCGATATGATTGACAGATTCCAGAACGCTGCGCTCGAGTCTCGCCTCGGGATTCCACTTCTCTACGGCACTGACGCTGTTCATGGCAACAACAACGTCTACGGTGCCACTGTATTTCCTCACAACATTGGCCTTGGAGCTACTAGGTATTATATGTAACTATTGTTGTTGCTTATTTATAGAATCATTGCTTGAGAGAGTGTTAGTTTGTGTGACAGAGATGCAGAGTTGGTTAGGAGGATTGGAGTTGCAACTGCTCTTGAAGTTAGGGCTTGTGGCGCTCAGTTTACTTTTGCTCCTTGTGTGGCTGTAAGTTCTCATAATTTTTTATATTAGATTATTTGATCGGATTATTATCAGACCATTCTGTGTTCATTTTGGTTCAAATTGGTCATCCATGTATCAAAGATTTATGTTGAACCATGTTAATTGCCTGTATTTTGCTTGGTATGTTTGTGATTTTGCATCACTAGTTTACTTTGAATCTGATACGTCTATATGGCACAATGTTGTCATTGTTTAAATTAAGGGAAACGTGCAATCATGCTAATGGAAGGGCACAATATGGGAATTGGAAATAGTTGTCCTGTTAATTCTAATTCTTATTGCTTTAAGTCATCAAATTAGATTTGTTTTTATGCCTTGCTGATTAAATTATTAAACACCTTGCTTTTGGTTTGGTTCTTTCTTCTTCGCTTTGTGTTTGTATTTGAGATAACTTCTAATATTTTCTAAACATGAAAATTCTAGTATATAATTTTAGTAACTTAATGCCATTACGCAACCATTACATAACGAACGTAACGAAATTACGTAACGAAATTACGTAACGGTTGGGTGCTTACTGCCACCGGTTATGGTCATTATAGCAGTGTGACAGAAATTCACAACTGTAACGGCCGCCACCGTTACATAAAGGCTGTAACGGCTGTTACATTGTTGCTGCAACACTGTTATGGCCATTACGCGTCTATTTTTTAAAATTTAAGGTGTGCTGTCAACAAATTAAGAACCACAAAACATATTAGGTGGGTTATCATTTGTCTTTCAACTACCCAACAAACATGGGTAAGCATTATACCATCCATAAAATTTTCTGTTGCTTCATTGGCTGGAGTGCCACGTGGACAATACCACATGATTTTCTGAGACGAAATAATTGGCCGGCTGTAATTAGGCAGCCTAATGGAGCATTAGCATTTTTCCTTGTAGGAATATATAGGTCATTCCACAATGTATGTTCGTAATTCATTAGTGTTGGAGTTCATTCCAAAATGTTTGTTCATAATTCATTAGTGTAGGCCTTGTTTAAATTCCATTTTGATTTTCATTCCTTATATTTGGTTTCTAGTATTTTTTTTTATGGTGTCTATTAACCCTTTAATTATTCTAGATTCATGTATACTTATTTCATTTTTGCATGAGCTAAATTATTGTTTTTGAGAACTGATATATGTGACCCATTTTTTGCACCTTTGATATCTCCATGCACATGGAAAGATAGTATTTGTTTTCATTATTTTCTTAATGACCAATCATGATTATTCACGTAGGCGGTGATACAAAACAGTAACAAAAAATTTGTGACACATAACATTTCTCATTATTTTGTAAGCAATTTGGATAACTTTTGTAGTAATTTTATTTTTATTTAATTTTTTTTAACTGCCCTTTAGTTTAGTCTTTATCCCAATTCGTCTTTTTTAATGGATTACAAATATGCATTACCCTTTAGTTTAGTCTTTATCCCCACTTCGACTTTTTTAATGGAGTACAAATATCTGTACACTAAGTCTCTGTCGACATTATGAACAACAGTTTAGTACTTGCCTTGGTTCTAGTTACAAAATGCTATAATATGGTTAAATCCACTATTGGAACCTTCCATGCCATCTGACTTCTATCTGATAATGGGGCTAAACCGCATCATAGAAGGAAAACTTAGGTTCCCACTTCCTGATATTAAGATTAGGAGGTGCATCTTCCAGGTAAATGATGACATGATTATGCAAATATAAGATTAATTATTAATATAGATTTCCATTAGCCCTATCTTTATGATAACTTATGTGCCAAGCAAACCTTTTATGTCAGAAATGCAGATACACAAATCTAGGATGACGTTGGCTGATGATGTCAACTTAGAAGAATTTGTTATGACCAAGGATGAGTTTTCTGGAGCCGATATAAAGGCAATATGTACTGAAGCTGGTTTACTTGCTCTAAGAGAGCGCCGTATGAAGCTGTGTTGCATCACCGTTACTGACACTCTGTTTTTTTCAATTTCTTTGATTGTAATAGAATTTGATTCAATAATAGTATTCATTTGCCTTTATTAATTGTAACATGACTTCCCTTCTTGTGTTTTTTTTTATTTCTTGTGTCATGGAAGGAAAATTATTAGGTTGTCCAGACTACCATGTGCCATTAGCCTATGTGTTTTTTCATTTTTTTTTTTCAAACAGTATTGTGTTTTTTCATTTTTTTGGGTGGAAATTTTGTATGATGGTCATTTTAGCATATCTGACTTTTGTTTCTCATGTAGGTGGTTGGAACAATATGCATCCTCTTTACTCTATCCCCCGAACTTGCACCACTTCTGGGGCTATTTATGGTTATGGTGTCTGTTTTAGTTGGTAATTTTTTGTTTTTTTGTTTTTTTTGATTGGAAACAAAAGAAATATTATTAGAAAGTAATAGTCTATTCTGTAATTTGCCTTTGAATTTCATGTTGTTTTTCTTCACCATAAACATGCAATAGAAAAATTGTCTATGGTTTTGTTTTCTCCTTTTTCATATTTTACAAATTCTTGGAAATCTTCAATTGTAGATTTATATGCATTAAGATGTTGGGTAATTGTCTAATTGATGATGTTTCTATTGATTGGGTAAACAAGTACAATAAGTTTGAAGCCTAAACAAAGCTGTGAGAAGGACAACAACTAAGGAGCCTTTTTGATATGACTCGTGCCCGTATTTATCTTGATTATAAGTTAGTATGATGTTGGTCACTAATAATTTTATTTTATTTTTGCCACTAAACCTGGAGAATCCTATAATGTGATGATCACATTATGATCTGCACTGAAATCAAGGAGCTCCTCTAGCCCTAATATCTGTCTGGGAAGGCATTGATTCTCAAATTGCTACATGGAGGACTTGGGGTAATGAGAGATAATTAATGAAGATCCAATTCTGCAGTGTAGGTGAACACTGATAAACTTTAATATTACATCAGGTATCCAGGTACACAGCCAATGGCAGCGAATAGTCTACTTTGTTTCTGAACTTTAGTCGATACTCTCTCTCTCTCTCTCTCTCTCTCTCTCTCTCTCTCTCTTGCTCGCTCGCTCGCTCGCTCTATTTCTTTCGAATTTTACTGCTTGTAGAGGCAATGTAATTTGGTAATTTGGATTCAGTTGAGCATTGTAGTATAACACTGAAGTTTCTCTAAAACTTTTGGATTAATCTGTAATTCATCAACTTTTGGATTAATCTGTATATAATTAATTACATTTATAATCTGGTCGCACATCTCTCTTTGATTTAATCTGGAAGCACACTTCTACTTGAGGGGGGCTGAATTAAATTGGTTTAGTTGTGCTTCACATGTAGAAGACAACACATTTTTGTTCTTTACTGTTACATGCCTATATTCTCGATTGTGCATGTCTGAATTGTCAGATGCTCTTTTCACTTTTTTGCCACCATTATAATTGTAATTTTGTATTGATTTAGCATTTCCTGTTGTAACTGGAATTATTAAACTAGTTCTGATAGCAGCTCTGTAATGTGATGAACACTTAATGATTAAATTCATGGATATTGCCTTGATTTTCTCTCATTCCAGGTAAAGAAAAAAATTTTAACACCTAAGAGTAAAGTCCCTGCCCAGAAGCTTCTAAGCAACTCAGATTTTGTTGATGACAATGAGGCAATTCCCTTGTAACTTCATTTTCTTTTGCTATTGATGCAGGTCAGATGTAGACGAAGGGGGTGAGACTATCAGCATCAATTACTCAATTGCTGTACTCAATCCTTTTCAGGTAGGTCTCCAATTGATACCCTTTTAGCATTTTCCCTGTCAAGATAATATTGTGTTGTCTTGTAGGTCTCCAATTGGTACACCCTTTTAGCATATCTTTCTTCAACAGTTGTTTCATAGAAGGTCTTATTAGGTAATGGAAACACAAACTTAATGCATTTACATAACAGACGGACCAGTTTTTCAGAAGTTTCATTCCATCGTTTTTCCTTTAAAATGTTTCCTTAAATTTCACTTGATTCCCTGTTGAATACACTTCATTTTCTATCATTTGTGAAAAATTCATGATTTGTGCATACAACAATGTAGAGTTCTGCATTCTGGCTTAATCTGATAAGGACATTGAGATGAGTTCTATGCATGAAATATGTCCAGAAAACTGGTGGAATAACCATTTGAGTTTTATGCATACAATGAACCATTTCTCATTTTATGTGTGAAGCTATTATTTTAGGGTGCTAAATGTTGGTCAACTTATGGTTACTTTCTAGTTCATTTCTGTGTAATTTGTTATGCAGGTTCATTAACTTAAAGGAGCACATAATAGGTTCCTTCACATATCATTTATTGTCCATTTGTATATTTTCTATGCTGTTAATTTATGCCTAATCTTTGGGATATTATCATATTTTTACTTGCTGATTTTATGATCTTTGATCTCATAAATGTTTGGCCTATAAAGCGTAATTTTCTTGATGATAAAGGTTAGGAAAAAATATTTGATAGTTGTTTTTAAAAAACCTCGGCAATTGATTATAGAGTGAGATTAGCATTTTACCTCTTAGGAGTGCATTAAACCTTCTTTATCTTATTATGGATGTTGTCTGGACATAATTTCTGTATCCTTTCCACATGATTAATTTGTTCTTGATGTAACTTGGCTGTTGATACTCATATGATTGGCAAAATGCACTATTAATTAGTTATAATTGTTTTTTCTCCTAGGCAAAAGCAGTATTAATTTTAATCATTGATGTGATCAACAAGTGGGAAATAAGTTTCCAATATTCTAGTTGGTTGAATCACTTCAGATATATCAAGTATACATAATTACATTTTCTGGTCCAAGTCTTTGGCTGTTATTTTATAAAATGATGAACTCCAAGGCCTTTTTAAGCAGTGCACAAGTTTCAGTCTATTGAGGACAAGATACTAAAATTAATTTGTGATTTCTTCTTATTTGGCTGCTGAGAAATAAGTTGTAATTTGTGTGGTTCCACATTTCTTTCTTTTTCTTCTTTTTCATTTTTCATCCTAAGAGAATGCATAGGTAAAAATTTAAGCTGGTTCCAATAACTTAGCATTCTATTTAGTTGACGGGGCTATTGCGGCGGTTTGGCTGTCGCTATTTCAACCGCAGGTAAAGGTTTTTTAGTTTTTAGTGACGCTTTTTTCTGCTTTTAGCGATAGTTTTGGCGGCTGCTAAAAGTGAATTTTTTTGTAGTGGTGTTGAATCAGGGTGTGCCTGGCGCAAGCTGAATGTGCAGCGTGTCTTGGATGAATCGACTAAAAACTATGTTAAAATGCGGTCAAAGGAAGCTAAAAAGAAGCTAAGACCACGAAAGTATGTTGTGGATTTGATTTCCAGAATCTCTTCTTCATAATTAACTGGTGGATTAAACATGCTTATCTCTCTCTCTCTCTCTCTCTCTCTCTCAAACACTAATTTTATGCCTTTGCATCTATATCCATTAATAATTTTTTGATATGTATGTGCTGCATAAAGGCTTTATGTTTTGCTATCCACATGCCTGAGTAAGATGTAGTTTAATGGGCATATGCAGGAATTTTACCTCTTGAGATTTTGCCTTCTGGTTAATGTTTCATTCTTGCTCTTTCCAGAGAATTTTATACACTTTATCCTTTTTTTCTGTTACCAAGATTTTATTTAACTCAAAAGCTCTAATTAATGTTATTGGCACATTTGTGGTTTCTTTTCCTTTGAAACTTTGTTTAAAGTTATATATGACCAGAACCTGTATAAGTGTACAATGTAAATTTTCAGAGTAGAGTTCTGTTGAATACTTGGTTATTTTTATAAAGGTCATCCATATTTTGCATCCTTGGTGTTAATGTAAAGTGGTTTCTCTCTTTACAATGTAATCCATGACAAACTAATTCACGAGATCACTCAAGTCATCATGCAGAGGATTTGTTACCTTGAAACAATGCAGACTAAGTTAGAATGAATTATTATTTTTAGAACATTGCTTATGAAATACACATGCTTAAATGGTTTGTGTGTTTGCAGCTGCCATTTGTGTTTCTAAGTTACATTTTTATGCTTCCAAAATGATTAAGATCAAGTAGAAATGATTAATGTTCTTATTTTGGTTCGCTGAATTAACTTTTTAGTTTATTCATATGCATCAGCAGTTTCTGAATTAATTTGTGTTTTCATTTTTCAGGTCAGAAATTTTTTGGAGAGATGCAAAATATGGTCCAAGAATTAAAGAACTTAGTTTTTTAAGTTTTTTCATTTTTTAATATATGTAAGCACAAATAATTTTTTTTATTTAATTCCTTTGTATATAGTTTTGAATATTTAATTTCCATTTATGAAATATATGACGTTATTCTATTCAATATGTGGTTATGATTCAAAATATAGTATATAGTGTGTATTACATTATTCAAATGTGCATACAAAAATAATATTGATTATTTTTCAAATATGTAGCACCTTTTTTTTATCACAGATTTTATTAGTTATTAATCACACTTAAAAGATGTGATCTAAATGTTATTAATCACACTTAAATGATGTGATGTAAATATTTTTAATCACATTTAAAAGGTGTGATCTAAATGTTATTAATCACACTTAAAAAGTGTGATTAAAAATGATCATTTTTAATCACATTTCCAAAGATCACACTTAAAAGGTGTGATCAAAATATTTTTAATCACACTTAAAAGGTGTGATCTAAAGTTTTTAATCACACTTAAAATGTGTGATCTAAATGTTTTTAACCACACTTAAAAGGTGTGATCTAAATATTATTAATCACACTTAAAAGGTGTGATGAAAGCATTTTTTAATGACACTTAAAAAGTGTGATTAAAAATGACCATTTTTAATCACACTCCTAAAGACCACACTTTAATAAAACTTAAAAGGTGTGATTAAAAAACATACATCACACTAAAAAAGTGTAATTTTTATCTATATTTGTAGTAGTGATTATTGAACATTTTTAATATTTTTTTATAAACAAAACAAATAAACTATGAACGCCACCAAACATCACCTCTAGTAGTTCTTCCCAAATTTCGAACTCTCTGCAAACATAGCCATAAATTTGTGATTAAAAAATTAAGCTGTATCAAAATAATTTGTAATTTAGAAGCAATTTGATATATATATTTTTAATAATAGTTTTGAAAATAATTCAAGTTTGATTGAAAAAACTGAAAATATAAGAACTATTCCTAATATTTGGGAGACTAAAAAAAAGTCTTAAAATTATTAAAATATTTGGAAAAATTGATTTTGTTCTTTATTTAGATTTATTCCAATATATGGGATTTCTTATTTTTTTATTTTTTGGTTGGTGGTGTTCAATGAGCAAGGATCCTCTAGAGTTTTTTTTTTCTAAAGTTTTCTAGAGTAGTACATTGTGTGGTTGAGATTTAATGACAAGTCATATAAATTTTTTAACATTAAATCTCAACCACACAATACGCCACTTTAGGAATTTTTAGGAAAAAAACACTCTAGAGGATCCTTGGTGGTGTTCAATTCCAGTGGACATATATGGTGGGCTACTGGACCTATTTGGGCTATAATCTGTGGGCTGAAGAAATTGACTTCCGATATTTCTTTTCTTATAAAATTTTTATTCTTAAAAATAGAGGTGGAAGAATCGAAGTTTTATTCTTATTCCGGAGAGAGCAACCTATGAAACATTTTACCAGACCAGAAGAAGAGTATCGAATTCGAAACTCAAGCGTCTAATAAATAATAAGAGACCCCGTTAATCTATCTCAGAAACTCAAATGGCAGAGCCAACTTCTGAGCCCTTCAACTCTGTTTCAGGTTCTTTCTATTTCTTTCTTTCTTTCTTTCTTTCTTTCTTTCTTTCTTTATTATTGGTTTGTCTCTTTCTTAGGCTTTGCTTTGCTTATGTAATGGGTTTCTTCTTCAAATTCGACAACCATTTCATTTATTTATTTATTTATTTATTTTTTTGCCCTTTTTGCGGTTGAAATTGGCTATTTCAATTTCTGACTTGCGAGCAATTAAAACTGATTCTATTAGTATTTTTTTTTTGTGTGTGCATGTTATGAATTCTCCAGCGAAAACTTTCCCTTTGTGTAATTCTCACTTACTGCTAGTGCTTGTGCTTGTTATGTTTTAGACAGTTTGAAAATTGAGTTATGAAGGAAAAATATATGGGTAATCATATTACCTGATGCGGAAAGGGTTTGGATCGGATGCTTGAATTACGAGTTTTGTCTGGAAAATTCCCTGTCAATTAAGAAGCTACTAGAGTTTCTCAATATTTATCCACACTCTAAATTCCTAAGCTTTCAAGATGATAGCCTCAAGATAGATGAATAGAGAGAGAACTTATTGTTTTTCGTGTGTCTACGCACACAATGTTGAGTATGAGCCCTTATATAGGCATAAATGGCAAATCATGTGTACCATGTGGTTATGCCATACCATGTGTACCACATGTCCAAGACCATGTGTCCTTCATGGTTTACATGACCATGTGTCCCTCATGGTTAGGTCATGTGTGGATGGACCATGTGTACCTTGTGGCTTTCAAGATTAGGCTACACCATGTGTATCATGAGGTCGCACCATGTGTATTTATATTTACCACATGGTATCAACATCTCCCACTCATCCATACATCCACATCATGTGTTATATGCTCAATCATCATTTCTGAATCTCTCATTCAATTCACCCCTCATATGGAAAAATGGAGCGTGCAACTTGACGAGAATATATAAGGTGGGAGTACTATATTAAGTCACCATAAACTAACATAGCACATCACTCGAAATATCTCGTCTACACCCCAGATTTGTTGGATCACACCAAATCAAACATTTTAAAACCCCTTGCGAGTCATAACTCATAATCGTGCTTGACCTCAACACTCTATCTATACTCATGATTATATCGTGATCTCAAATCCGACACAATTGCCTGGGCAATGAGCTACAATACAAGGGTATGATTTCCAATAATCTTCCCTAGTCATTCATGTCAATTCACTCAAACTTGACTGCTTTCCTAGACATGGTCCTTTGGATCATATTCATCATGACCCGTGGATGACATGCTAAATTTGCGATGTCAAGTCATCACTTCATGACATAGTTCCAGGTTCAAGGTTATAGAGTAGGCCTATTATTGGCCTAACAGGGCTCACACATTGCTAGAGCAGGGATCTATCTAGGTACTCCCTTAAGTGGTCGACGGTAGCACATACTGTATGATATGTATGCTATGGCGGAGCTCCCACTAAATTGGGTTTGTCACTCTCTAATGCCATACGAATCTTAATCTAGTCGCTATACAAGCGACTAACCTGAGTTTCTTAGCATATTCACTCATCAAGCGCTTATCTAAGATCTCATATTCGGCTATATTCAAGCTTCATAAAGCTGTCAATAACTTCATGTTTGACTTTTTTAAAGTCTCATCTTAGCCAATGCTAAGGCGACATCTTATAATAATAATCAGTTTTGTTCACTTCTCAAGTTACAAAACATTTATATCACTCACTCTCTAAGTGCCAAGATAATTAATGTCTCTTCTTGCTCGCTCTACAAGCGCTAGGGTGATCGCCAGTGTGAAAAGGTCTATCTAAGCCTGGTGACATCATATACAATGTATACTAATAATATTAATTTCGCCATAAAAGCACATGAATAAATAATTATGCATAAGATACTCAAAATAACCTAACAAAGTCAATGAGGTATCTACAAAAACATCAAATCCTATGAAGTCCTAAACTCTTACCATGAGTTTGGAAAACGTCTCTAGCAGTGGCTTTAGTAAGTGGATCAACAACCATCCTGCTAGTGGAGATATGTTGTAGGACTACCTCCCTTCGTGCAACCACATCTCAAATAAAGTGAAATCGAATGTCGATGTGTTTTGTTCTACCATGATACTTGGGATTCCTAGAATATGCCAAAGCTGCTATACTGTCAACATGGATCATAACGGCTTCATCTGCAAGAGCCGTGATCCCAAGGAGCTGAAGGAATCTCCTCAACCAAACAACCTCTTGTACTATTGCTGAACATGCAATGTACTTTGACGCCATCGTGGACAAAGCAATGCATGATTGCTTCTTACTACACCAAGAAATAGCCGCTTCACTAAGTAGGAACGAATAACTAGTGGTAGACTTGCGCTCATCTTTATCAGCAGCCCAGTCTGCGTCACTGTATCCGTTTAGTCTCAAATCTCCACCTTGATAGCAAAGAATGAGATCCATCGTCCCACGAAGATAGCGAAAAATCCTCTTCACTACTTGCCAGTGAACAAGTCCTGGGTTACTATGGTAACAACTGACCAATCCCATTGCAAAACATATGTCTGGTCGGGTACACATCATAGTGTACATCAGACTACCAACTGCACTCGCATAGAAAAGTTTTGCCATTTGTTTCTTTTCCTCATCTGTCTTAGGGCAAGAGTTAATGCTCATATTACGTCCTTTCTCAATTGGAGTGTCAATGGGTTTGGAATAGTGCATACGAAACCGTTCCAAGATCCTCTTAATGTAAGTCTCTTGAGACAAACCAAGAAGCCTCTTAGAGCGATCTCTCAGGATCTTAACTCCGAGCACATAATTTGCCTCTCCTATGTCCTTCATTTCAAAAATAGAGGACAACCATTCTTGAGTGGCAACAATCATCTCCATGTCATTTCTAGCTGACAAAATGTCGTCAACATACAGCGATAGAATAAGGAAACTTTTTCCTGATCGTTTGGCATACACACAATGGTCTCCATCATCTCAAACCTAGTTGAAACAACAGCTTTGTGAAATCTAAAGTACCGTTGTCTAGATGATCGCTTTAAGCTATAAATGGAACGTTTAAGGCAGCATATTTTGCGCTCTTGTCCATTGACCTCAAGGCCTACTGGTTGATCCATATAGATCTCTTCATCTAGTTCTCCATTGATAAATGCAGTCTTGACATCCATTTGGAAAAGTTCCAAATCCAAATGCGCGACAATAGCTAGAATTAAGCGAATAGAGGCAAATTTCACCACCGGGGAGCAGTGTTTTTAAAGGCTCAAGGCGCACTAAGGCACCGATGGTCTCTTGGAGCCTAGGCGCAAGGCGCAAGGCGAGGCGCGGGCTTTATTGAAGTAAGGCGCACAGTATTCGTAAAAAATAGAAAAATTAATATAGACTAATCATTCATAGTACTACGACAATTTTTAAAAAAATAAAAAGTAATCAAGATTCAAGACAAAATATAGAATAATTCTCAAAGCCATGAAAGTGCATATTACATAACATTCCAATTTTCAAAGATCAAATAATCCACATTCAATAAAATAAAAACATAAACACTAAACATCCAAAACATAAATATCCAACAAATATTAATATATGTCTTAACACTTAAAAACATCAATATCAAAAGAAAGGGTAGGTTAGGTCGGTGTCAGTCAATCATCATCCTCAACATCAATCTGACGTGGGTGTGGCTGAGGTCCACTCATATTGGTGTAAGTCCATTGTGCATTGTGTATGCCATTTTAGT